AACTCCGCATGAAGATGTGGGGCTGAGGATTCATGTAGCCCAAAGTTGCAACCCTTGCCTGGCAGGTACAAAACCCTTGGTTCTCTTTTCAGCACCGCTACCACTAAAATAAAGACATAAGCCCAGGAAAACCAAAAACCTTGCTGGTAAGAGTTGCTTAGTTTCTAGAGCTGGTCAGAACCCCTCTGAAGCTGGCATGGGAAGTCTCTCTCCGAGGCCAGTGGGACCCTAGGATTCTGCAGTAGTCAGTGAGCTGGTGGCTCTAGTTTGCACGGCGGCTTTGATAACTGATTTCCCCGCCACAGTCCCATCTTGGTTTTACCTGCAATTGCTATGTAGAACTCCTGACTCTTGTAGGCAGATACAGGCTGGAGAGTCTGAGGAACCCTTTCTCAGCTTTGGGGCTATTGCTCTGTGAAAAAACCGATGCAGACATAGACATGTGATTTTTGTCAAGTTGTATTTAATTTTCCTTTCTGCCAGCCGGCAGGGCAAAAAACATATAAATCAAGAATTACTCTGTGTGTGTGTGTGTGTGTGTGTGTGTTAAAGCAGTCTAGGGATAAACTCAGAGCCCAGTGATGTCTCCAGTACTGGAACACTGTCACCCATGCATCCCTTAGCTGTCTTCCAGCAGACTGGACTAGTTCAAAGCTAGGACTTTGGTATAGAAGAGGAAGGCAAAAATGTTTTTAAAGGTTACTTTATTATTATTATGTATATGGGTGTTTTGCCTGCATGTAATGCTGTGTCCCAGGTGCATGCTTGGTGTCTGGAGGCCAGAAGAAAGGACTTCAGATCCCCTGGAGTTGCATGTGGTTGTGAGTTGCCACGTGGGGTCTGGGAATCAAACCTGAGTCCTCTGGAAGAGCAGCCAGTGCTCTTAACTGCTGACTCATCTCTCCAGCCCCAGAGGCAAGGAGTTGAAGCACCTCATCCTTTTCTCTGCTGGATCCCTGTGACAGGGGATACAGGTCAGGAATGAAGTTCCTTCTAAACCATGCTGCCCTTCCTTCTTGATTCTCCTATCCAACATCTGAGCCTGTCCAAAGCATTATGTGAGTTTCTTAGTTATAGGAAGCTCGGGAATTCCCTGGTGGGACCTTAAGGACGAAACCCTAGCAACAGGGAGACATACTAGTAAAATCATATGAGCGTGGGCTGGCAAGAGGTTTGCAATCAAGCCTGCCAATCCAGGTTCCGTAATTGGGACTCAGATGCTGGAAGGAGAGAACACAAGCTGTCTTCTGACTTACACACACACACACACACACACACACACACACACACACACACACACAAATAAATACAATTTAAATACTTTTTTCTTTTAAGACAGGGAGGCACATGCCTTTAATCCCAGCACTCAGGAGACAAAGGCAGGCAGATTTCTGAGTTTAAGGTCAGCCTGGTCCACAGAGTGAGTTCCAGAGCTGCACAGAGGAAACCCTGTCTCAAAAAAAGAAAACAATGAGCACAGCCTGCATTTTCAGGGTTGTAGTCTAACTGCTAGTGGGGTGGAATATTTTTACTAAACACTGGGTGCAGAGGCAATGCACACCGCCCTTCCTCATGGAAGCTCAGAGAGCTCATTCCCGCTCCAAGCATGCCAGGTGGTGGGAACACGTTCTCTTCTTCGGCCACCGAACATGCCAACATTGCAGAGACGTAACACACTCAGGGTGAGCACCTCTTCTACCATAGCCCCTGAACCTGTCCTCGCAGATTTTGCTACTCTGTAGTTCTTTCCTTGGTGCTTACAAGTGTTGCCTAGTTGTTACATGTTGTAAAAAGGATTGTGAGGGAGTGGGAGATTGCAGCGGACAGAACATACAGTTTGGAAGACCAGGCTCCGTTTATTTTGTTTTGGAGGCCTCGGGGACGGAACCCAAGGCGATGTGTATACCGAGTTACAGCCCAAAGCTCTGGTTTGCCGGGCGGTGGTGGCGCACGCCTTTAATCCCAGCACTCGGGAGGCAGAGGCAGGCGGATCTCTGTGAGTTCGAGACCAGCCTGGTCTACAGAGCTAGTTCCAGGACAGGCTCCAAAGCCACAGAGAAACCCTGTCTCGAAAAACCAAAAAAAAAAAAAAAACAAAACAAAACAAAACAAAACAAAAACAAAAACAACAAAGCTCTGGTTTTGCTCAGGCAGGAACTCAGAACGTACACCAGGCTGACCTGGAACTTGCGACCGTTGCTGCCTCTGCCTACCAAGGGACAGAGAGTCTTATTTAGCAGTTTTCTTAACCTCAGCCATGTCGGGCTGCTATGTGAGCTGCTGTTCCATTCCTTTTGTAGATAAACTTCGGCCCGTGTTTCACACAGCCTGCTTCCCTGTTCAAATGATATTCCACGTACAGAAACAGAAGTGTGTGACATTCTTTCCCCCCTCTGCTCTCTTCCCATCCTTGCTTCTTTTTCTCCCCCTATCCCTCTCTTTTGCTGGGGATCAAACCTGGGGCTTCCAGCAAGCCCAGCATTCACTCTACCTAGGCCCTAGCCCTGGCATGATCTCTTATTAGAGTGTTGTAGATGTTTGAAAAATAGGGGACAACGTTGGTCTTGGTTTGCTGTCAGTTGTTATGATAAAAAAAAAAAAAACACCGTGACCAAAACCAACTTGAGGAAAGTGTTTCTTTCAGCTTATAGCTGTAGTCCATCATGACTAGATGCCAGGCAAGAGCTGATGCAGAGGCCGTGGAGGGGTGCTGATTACTGCCGTGCCCCCCATGTTGCTTAACCTGCTTTCTTACATACCCCAGGACCCACTTGCCCAGGGGTGGCACTGCCCTCAGTTGGCTGGGTCCTCTTACATCAATCATTAATCAAGAAAATGCTTCACAAATTTCCCTACAGGCCAATCTGACGGAGGTACTTCCTTAGTTGAGATTCCCAAATACTCCTGGCAGATGTCAAGTTAACAACAAAACAACCCCTCACCTCCCCCCTTCCCCGCCCCGCCCCCAGCACAGGGCTGCGCTGTAGGACTCTGAGGGTGGCCCCTAGAGCCAGGCTTCTCTGTGCCCGTGCACTGATGAGCTAGCTCCTCCACACTGTTTTTCTCTCCGGAGGAATAATGGTACGAATGGAAATAACGCACTTCATAGCGCTGATGTGAGGTCGGAACGAGGTGACCCACACGAGCCCCTCCCAACAGTCCCCAGCACGTAAGATATACTGTTCTGGTTAGTCAGTTTCTTCACACAAACATACCTCACATAAACAGTCTAAGGGAGGAATTCTTTTAATTCGTGGGTTTCCATCTTTGGTTCCTGGCTCTGTTGACTTGGGGCCCCTGCTCCCAGGCAGAGGAGCAGGGTAGCAGGAACACGTGCACCTCAAGGTGGATAGTGAACAGAAAGACAGGAAGAGGTCAGGGGCAAGATAACTCCAAGGCCTGACTCCTAATGACCTACTTCATCCAGTTAGGCCCCGCCTCCTAAAGTTTCCAGCACCTCCCAAAATAGCAAACCAGCTGGGGACCCAGCAGCAAAGACGGGAGCCTTTCTGAAGGATGCTCCTTATCTAAACCATAACAGTTAATAAACACAAGCAGCAGCAGCTGTGGGATTCTAGGGAAAGAGGATTACATCTGGGGGCAGAAAACATGGAAAATTGGGGTCACGAGGGCACTAGGTAGAAATGGGAGGTCGTAGACGTCAGCAACTACGTTAGCCCTGCCAGGAAGGCTGCCTATCAGAACCGGACTTCTGGGAGTCTCTGGACAATGGTTGGAAGATGCGTTGTCTGGATGCAAGTGGAACTCTTAGGAAAGGCATCCTGAATACCGTACAGTTTGGACGCTGAGGACCACAGGCTGAAAATTTCTGAAATAAAGAAAGTGAAGGGCCTGCGAGAGAGTTCATCAGTAAAACGCGTTGGTCACCAAATTTGATCCCTAAGGACCCATGGTAGGAGAGAACTGATTCCTGAAAGTTGTCCTCTGACCTTCACACGTGCCCGCCAGCACCCCACAAATAATAAGTTTTTAAAAATGTACAGAGCAATGGGTCTGAGGCAGTTCTGGCTTTCTGGGGTGATAGTCCAAAACGGAGCAAACAAGGCCTTCAGGAATGTTCGCGAGGTCTTCAGCTAGACATGGAGGGCTACTGAGAGAACCGGGAATCCTGCGTAGTTGAGTGGTGTACTACAGACCAGCCAGGAACACTCTTCAGCAGGGCCCAAGGGTCAACAGCCGTGGATTTGTTGCTGAAGGCAGGAATCCAGCACAGTCCGGCAGGCCAGTGAAGAATTAACAGAAGCTTCGTCAGCCTCTGGGAGCGCAGACCTTAGGAGGCGGGGTCTACACACCCGGGTAGAAGAATGCTCTTCTTTAACATAAGTAAGGGCCTCAAAAGAATATTCGACCAACCTTCCCGCGATAAGAGACTAAAGACTGTAATGTCTGTAAAGGTGTGGTGTCAGAAGGTCTACCCTCTTCCAACCAAAACTCAAGATGCCTGGAATTGAAGAGATTAATAATCTCATGCAAGGGATGAGGAAATAAGAGAAAGGCTTCCTAGAGGTCAAGTGTGGCCTAACGTCCTCATTGGATTGGAAAAGGAAACTGAGGCAGGGAGTTGGCGTTACCCACTCAAAGCCATATAGTAGATTTCAATTCTCCGAAGTTTTCCATAGCTTTCCTCCCGGAAATCGACACATCCCTATTCTGTCCCATCTGGATGAGATCAGGAAGAGAATTCTAGCTTGTTTGGTGGCGGCTTCTGAGAGCAACAAACAAGTCCCCTTTAAGGGCGTCCTCCAGTCCCGGGTCTGGCCGGTTTTGATATGCCCCCAGTGTTATCCAGTTGGCCGTTTTGTGTGGCTTCTCGCCCCTTCCAAGATTCCCAGCCAATCACCTCTTTCTTCGCCTACCCCGTTGGGTATTCTGGAATGTACCATATGGTCCAGGCCGTGGGGGGGAGAGCAGGAGGGAGGGAGTGGCAACTGTGCATTCCTTTACCTTCTGCTGTGAACCGTGAGATTTTGATAGAACCGAGCCTGGACGTGGCAACCGGGTCTCTAAGAACGAGAAGCACGAGCGATCTGCAGGAGCCCTGAGCCCGCTCACCCCCATTGGGGTCGGTGGTCTAGCCTGGAGGGCCGCAGCCCCCGCCCTCCCATGTGCCCGCCCCGCCCCGGCGGCGCCGCTCCTGCCGCCGCTGCTGCTGCTGCCGCGCCGGACGCTGCGGGCTAGCGCGCGGGGGCTGCGGCTGCGTGTCCCGGCGCGCGGCTGGGTGGCCCCGCCGGCCACGAGGACACAGCAGGATGAAGCAGAGGTGAGCACCGCGCTCCTGGAGAACAGCCGCATCCCGCCCACGCTGCGCCTCGGTGTACCGGGGGTCGGCGGCTGGGTCCCGGATGGCTTTGGGCGCGGGTGGCCGCGTCGCCCCGATGTGTGGCTGGAGACAACCCTGCCGGGCAGCCCCGGACCTCCGGCCCGCCCTGTGCCTGGAGCCTGCCTCTGGCGGACGCGTGCGGCGAGGAAGCCCCTCTGCGCTTCCCGCGTTGCCGGGCCCGTGTCCGGGTCCCTGACCTCCAGAAATCGGGTGCTAGGTCAGGTCGCGCCCTGGGGGAACTCAAGAGAGCTACCTCGCTAGTAGGAACGGGAATAAGCGGGTTGGACTGGGTGTGCCCAAGGCGGCTTTGTAGGGGTGAAGACCCAACCCGGAGTGGGACTGTGCTCCCCGATGTCCCTAGTCTGGATCCCAGCAGGCGCAGTGTGTAGGTTGCTGAGGTCGTTATGGCAGGTGGCCATGAGGGAACTCTTGACATTTCCGTCTGGTGGTAGACTGAGTGGGGTGCAGGCAACCACCGGGGCCTCTTATTTCAGCGCCGCCCCCCTTCCTAACTGCCTTTCAAAGTGACAACACTGTTGGAGGTTCCCGTGGCACACTAGACATCCCTCGCTTAAGAATAACCTTGGAGAGCCCTACCCAGATATGGGTTTGTCTGGGGTTCTCAGACAGCCAGCCGGCGTGATGGCCGATTGCAGGTTTTGGCGTCTCTCCTTGGCAGGGACCGCATCATCCAGCTCTTTCACAATTGTTGCTGAGAAGAACGGGTCCTTGAGGCGCCTCAGCGCAATTGGGGTCGTGGGTCAGCCTTGTATCTTGACTGATTTTTTTTTTTCCCCTCCCGAGTCTGGAGACAGAAAGTTGTTTCCAAGAATACACACCACATCCGTATTGCTTTGATTTTAGTGCTTAAGTCAGACATTAATTATGGCTTGTGTGAAATGGATTAATGCAGAGCAGCGGAGATCATTTCAGACAGTGGTATTTGTTTATTTAAAGTGCGCCTTGGATGGAGAGGATAGCATTTAAATACCAGGGCATCAGTGTGTGTTTGGCCCCCTTTGACAGTCTGCCGCACACACAATCATTTGGGTTGATGGCGAGAGTGAGATTTTATGACGGGAAAGACATCTTACAGATTGCTGCTGCCAGCCGGAATAAGTTCACTCAAGACCCAGCCACCGAGGATGCTGTTCTTTGTGGCTGCCTTCTGTGAGCGAGTCTCCCTAGAGCCTTTAAGAGGATGTCATAAATTTCGTACTTGATTGCCACATGCACTCAAGTCAGTTCTTCTAGCCTTACAGTGAGCTTTTCTTAGGCTCTAGGTTGTAAAAGTCTTAAAGTATCTTTTAGCGGTGTACTAAGTAGCAGGAGTTGATTTCAGAATTACAGCTATGACTGTTTGGTGGGTGGCTCCGCAAAGAATTGTTTAGAACATGGACCTGGTGCCTCAGCTAGAGCTCTTTTCTGTGTTTAGGATAGCGCCGGCTTTTGAGAAGTCTAAAACTTGACTGCCAGCCGGTTGGGGCTTTCGCCTACCAGGATGTTTATATCCTGTGGTTTCTAGGTGTGGGAGAGAAGATCATGAGGGAAGGGTGCTTCCCGCAGTGCTGCAGACGTAGTAGGTGTTCTCACAATGATGAGGACATAGTAGGTGTTCTTCTCATGGTGCTGAGGACATAGTAGGTGTTCTTCTCATGGTGCTAAGGACTTAGTAGGTGTTCTTTTCACGGTGCTGAGGACATAGTAGGTGTTCTCGCGGTGCTGAGGACATAGTAGGTGTTCTTCTCACAGTGCCGAGGACATAGGAGGTGTTCTTCTCAGTGCTGAGGACATAGTAGGTGTTCTTCTCAGTGCTGAGGACATAGTAGGTGTTCTTATGGTGCTGAGGACATGGTAGGTGTTCTTCTCATGGTGCTGAGGGCATAGTAGGTGTTCTTCTCACAGTGCCGAGGACATAGTAGGTGTTCTTTTCACGGTGCTGAGGACATAGTAGGTGTTCTTATGGTGCTGAGGACATGGTAGGTGTTCTTCTCATGGTGCTGAGGACATAGTAGGTGTTCTTATGGTGCTGAGGACATAGCAGGTGTTCTTCTCACAGTTTGAGGACATGGAGGTATTCTTTGCACAGTGCTGAGAGTACGTGTTAGGTGTTCTTTGGAAAACCTGGGTGGGGATGGAGCTGAGCCTCTCATCCTTCTTTCTGTGCACTGGGAGATCAGTTCTCCTCCCTCCCTCCCTCTCCCACGTCTTAGCTTTCTAGACATTTTAATAGGAGGTTGTAAGTGAAGCCCTTCTAGACTGAGAGAAATCAAAGAGGGAAAACGGAGGTTTTCCATCTGCCTTATACATTTTTTGTTGTTGTTCGTTGGTTGGTTGGTTTGGAGACAGGGTCTCTTTATGTTTATTCCAGTCTGGCCTTAACTTGCTAAGTAACCCAGGCTGACTCTGTACCCTTGAAGCTTCTGCCTCAGTGCTGGAATTACCACTATATCTGACCCTCGTGTGTTCCTTTTTTTTTTTTTAAGATAGGTTCTTGTATAGTCTGGGCTAGCCTTGAACTCCTTTTATAACCAAGGATGACTTGCCTAATTCTGCTTTGTGGCAAGGGAGCCCCTGATCCTTCTGCCTCTACCTCATGAGTGTAGAGATGCCCCGTGTGACCCACTACACCCAGGAAATATGTTGCCATTTTAAATAGTTATTTTTATTTACAGGGGAGTGTGAGTGTGTCTCTGTGTATGTCACATGTGTGCAGGCGCCCTTGGAGGCAAGAGGAGGGTGTCAGATCCTCGAGCTGGAGTTACAAGTGGTTGTGAGCTGCCTGACATGGGTGCTGGGAGTCGAACTTTAGTCTTCTGGAAGAGAGGTGAGTGTTCTTAACCATTGAGCCATCTCTCCAGGTCCAGTGTTGGCATTGTGAAAGAAAGGATGGCCTTTCTTAACTGCCATTCAGTAGGGGAGCCAACCCTTTCTTCCATCTGTTGATTACTTTTTTGGGGGGATGATTCGAGACAGGGTTTCTCTCTGTAGCCCTGACTGTCCAGGAACTAGCTCTGAGATCAGGCTGGCCTCGAACTCAGAGATCCACCTGCCTCTGCCTCTGGGGTGTTGATTACTCTTTGTGTGTGCGTGTGTGTGTGTGTGTGTGTGTGTGTGTGTGTGTGTGTGTGTGCGCGTGTGTGTGTGTGTGTGTATGTGGGTGTGTGTGTTCGTTGATTTGTTGATTGCTCTTGTAGGTGAGGATTTTACTTGGTGCATTAGCATGTCCAAGTGGAACTAGAATCATTACTTAATTTTCCCAGGCAGTGACATCTGAGAAGTGGCCAGGATTCCTGAAGCTGGACCAGCAGGCAGGAGTAGCAGTCCTGGACTCTGCTCTGGGCTCGGCAGGGAGCCACCACGTGTGTCTCCTCCCTTCTTGAAGCTGGTCGTAAGAGCAGATTAAAAGGCTATCTGAGCTAATGTACTTGGGAAAATAAGAACCATCATTGGTTTGTTTATGTTGCTTGATATTGGGCGTGACATTTTTACAGAAGCCAGGCTCAGGATTCAGTTACAGTCCTTTCTTTGAAGAGGTGAACTTCTTTTTCTACCCCAGTTGATCCTCTCTGGAGGCAGGTGCTTGGCCCTCACTCCCCGAGGCAAGCCACGCCCCCACCCGATGTCATTGGTTCTTTTGCTGGACTGTAATGTAGTCAAATTATAGCACAGTGTTTTCCCAGTTTATAGATAAAGAAACTGAGTGCCGCTCCATTGATCCTGGAGTTGGATTTTTTCATGGTACTTTCCATTGGTACCTCTGGAGGAAAACACGCCCACACCCCTCTTGTTGGTGCCGAAAGGTTTCTGGTGGACCATTGTCCTTTCCTGATGCTGGCAAGCAGTGGTACTGCTCTTTGGTTGCTAGGCAGCGCCTGTGCTAGCAGCACCCCAGCTCTTCCCTTCTGTGTATATAACCTATTCTCGGTATGCCCCTGCTTTATATATGACAAACTAGGGATTGGTGAGATCCCAGGACAAGGAAGTGACAGAAAGCCCTGGCTAAAAGCAAGGCTGGGGTCAGCCTAGGGTCTTACTCTGGGAAGTATCTTCCCAGCCCCAGGCCATAGTGGTGACTAATGGGCAGGTTTTGGGGGTCCTGACACCTGCTTTTTCCTCCACCCCTACTTTCTGCAGTGGACAGTCATTACTTTAGGGGGAAAAAACTCAGAAGTGAAAAAGACAGTTATATATGAAGCGTGTGAAGTATTTAATCAAGGCAGACAGGACGATTGGGACCAGAGAGGATGGAAATGGTTCAGGGATGGGGGACGTGATCCTCCGACCCGCAGCCGCAGCCATCTCCAGTGCTCAGGCCTTTTCAGCTTCTCGCCGGCTGAAATAGTAGCCTTGGAGACCTGGCGCTTTTGCTAAGGTCTGCAGAAAGGTGGCTGCTCTTCTCTGCTTCGTCTGGGAAGTTGAACACCTGCTTCCTTTCTGGTGTTTAGCGTCCGTGGATAATGCAGTACATTGTCCAGTTATGTGGGAATTGGAGGGGACGTTGTTTGGAAATTTACCTAAATTCATTCAGTGGACTTTTCCTCCTCTCCCAGGCAACTCCTCTGTGGTCTTTGGCTCCACTTGTCAGAGTCCTCTGGGATGGTGGGGTTGGGTGGGGTGGGGTAGAGGTCACACACCTGGGTGCTTAGATACATCGTGAGGCAGAATGACACGGCTGTCCTGGCGGGGCTCAGTCATGTGTGATCAGCTGTTTTCTTGAGGGCGGTTCAGCTGTCTGAAGGCGTGCAGATAGGACTGTTGAAGACAGGAAGGTGGTTTTCTCTCACCTTGCTACGTCTCCATTGGCAGGTTAGTTTACACAGGAGGATGGGAGACTGCTGCATCTTAAAACACGAAAGGAAGAGATCCTCAGAGCAAAGATGGGAGAAGGGGGACTGTGGACTTTACCTCAGTGCAAGCTGGGGGGACAGAAGCTTCTG